ATTACTATGAAATTGATAGCAAAAATAGATCAACGCAAAAAATAACGTTTTCATTGAAGATGATCGAGACCTGAATCTATTACGAAGTTAAAACTATGGAAGAACTCTAAAGAAGTTTGAGTTGACCACTAATCACAACACAACTGTGCGTTAACAGCAACAAATCAGCAATCGTGCATTGCTCGGCTTTCTTTATCTCCCTGACTCCTCTACAAATTCTGGATAAGTCACGTTTACTTGTAAATCGTCTCCAACAAAGGGGGGGGTCTTTTACAGCAAGCCACGCTTCTTCAAAAAAGTCTGCATATTGTAGTGACGCGGGTAGGGGACACAGCACCATCACGTTCGAACGGTTTTACCGTACCAAAAAGGAAAGGCAAGGCACTGTTAACAGGTCGATCCCTGTGGCGACTAAATTTTGCATTTGGGTTGGCGCCTACGGTTGGTGCCAAATCGCGCTAAATATCAAAATCAGATGTCATAATTCAGTCAGGACCATTTTGAAGCCAACAAGTAGCCGCCAACCTTGATGCAAAATTTAGTCGCCACGAGGATCGAACCATTGAGAGTATCATTCATTGCTTCCTTGGTGCTAATAAACCGCTGCGAAACGGTTCGTGGGCCATGCAGGCGTCCCTTTCATAAGAAGGGGATGGAAAGGATATGTACGCATTAAATGCAAAGATTAATAAACGAATCTTGAGAGGAACGACAAGTCTATGTAATACATAAAACCTTATCAGGTGAAAAAAATGAGAAACAAACCTGTATATGTGATCCACTGAATGCTCTCCTTGATAAACAGTGTGAACCGTAGAAGAATAGGCGACGATCAATGGGAACTGATAAATTTTATACATATTCCGGCATTCTCCTGTAGTTGCCCAACAGTTAACCGCTACAAACCGAATCTAGAAGATATCTTAATGACAGCCATAAAACTTGAGAGATTACAGATAAGGATCGCGCGACTGAGAACGTAGGCTAAGGGATATTTCAACAAGTGTTTCGCATAGAAAACCAACGTACTTACATTTCTGTGATTTCGTAACACTAGTGCTACAACTTCAAATGGATGTTTCAGCTGTCGGGAATGAAAACTCCACGGAGCATAATACATTGCAATGACAAGATCATTATGTCCAACTACCCTGAAACAAAATTCATTCCTTAAGAAGACAACAAAAGAACTTCAGAAGATAAATCACATAAATAAACAATAAAAGTATCACAATACAAACCTATCCGGATGGAATTTGCCAGTGTAAAAATCAGTTAAATAATTACTGGTATGGTTCGAGAAAAATGGGCGAGGTCCTTTCGGTTTCAATATCGTGGGACGAGAATATACTTCACTAAAAAATCAAATATTCAAAAGTAAATTATATATTACGAACATGTTTGAATAATAAATGTAAGACATACACAATGATGTCCCATATGTTAGTGGCCGCCATGAATCCCAACAAAAACGTGAGACATTTTGCCATATTCCTCAAGGTGAAGATATTCAGAATAAAATCAAAAATCCTCACATCAAGAGGGAGCGCTGAAAGAAACAAATTTTGAAATTTCAACTTTACGAAACCAGAGGATGAAAACAGAATAGATTACAATGGATTTCGAACTCTTATGGGTATAAAGTCCATAAGCAAAAGTCTTTTGTTCGATGCCGCACGTGCGCTCGGGGCTATCAAAGCACACGCTACGCTGACGTGGAACACCCAGACCAGAGCACTTATCAAATTTTGTTGCTCGTATGAGCTCCCCCAGACTATGTACTCAGCTTTTCTATTGATTATTCCTTCGTGGGGCATTCATTTCGACCTAGCCCATGCCTCACTGAGAAAATAGGAAATGGGAGGATAAGAGCAGTCCAAAAGAAACAGATTCCAGCATTTAATGAAGTAAGCAAATCGTTTCGCCGAACGGAAGGGTGGAATTTTGATCAATCCTAACACGTATTGACATGTATTCACTCCGTATTCACGGTGAAAACAAGATGATGAACTTAGGACAAAAAAGATAGAGCACTCAGAAAACCTCATCCTTTCTGGGATACGCCATGCATTACATCGCAGCAGCAAACGATCGGGCCTGCAAACTTATCAAAGTTGAGGGAGGGGAAGAGCGTGCAGGAAGTGTGAGGGGTTCTCTAAAAAATACATGTATGTCAGAAAGGAGACTGAATGCTGACATAGTTTGCACTTGTTTTGAATGCTCTGCGCCATCACGCTCTGGAAGTAACATGAGCCTAAACAAGGAATAAGTGAGCTTTTGCAAACTGCTGGCGGAAACTCAGATTTTTTGAGTAAATCAGATTTAATGGGCAGGCATTGAGATTTCAACTGAACAGATTCGATGGAAGGCAGCGAAAGTGCTTGTGAAAAAGGAGAAGTTAATTTGTTTTCAGTTGCACTTAGAGATTACACATATATGTATTTGTTACAACTAATCGATAGCTAAATGTTGACAAACGAAAGACAAATCGTGTACAGACATTCCTGAGAGGAAGTGCCTATCTGGCCAATATAGAAAGGCAATCCATCCAATACATGTGGCAATCAACCATCACAATACATATGGCAACCATATGAATGGTTTCAATATTCTGGTGGGACGCACAAAAGCGCAGAAAGATCAGGTTCTAACTAATGAGATTTTGTCTCCCTGGGCGCAAGCACCGCGCAACACAAAAAACAGCAAGCGGAATGGTGCATAAGTTCCATGAACAACCCTTCTTAAGTGGACTTATCATTTCCTCGAACAAAAGTCGTATAACTTATAAGACCGTTAATTAACGGTCTTTGACGGTCCTAAGAAGCACCATCCAGCGTCTGGTAATTCCAGTTATATGAGAAAAACATCTAATTCCAATCACTATGAGTTACGCCATAAACAACCATTCTCAATAAATCTAGCCTGCAGTTATCCGTAATTTCATTTACATGTGATATTAACACTACAAATTCACAAAAAAAATGCCTCGGCTTCATCACAATGCAATCAACTCTTACTTGAGCTCTCAGAGAAATTTTAAGGAAGTTTTTGTAATTTTTGAAAGGAAAGATTTCGAGGGAATAGATTAACCATCAGTTATTACAATCGTATAAACCAGCGGCCAAATTTCGAGGTTCTTTCTCAAAAAACAATCGAACCATAAAGTCATGACTATTATTGGTTTCAAGCAAATTCTGTAGTTAGAAGCAAGCAAATATTCGTAACTCCGAACGGGGGGACCTCCCCGAACATTTTCCGTCCCCTATATATATAATCCGCTGACTTGGTTTTGGGTTTGTTATGTAACCTGTAGGTATGTCTATCTGTCCGCACAAAATTGAAGTGATAGAATTTCTTGAAATAAATGAAGCCACTTCAAAGCTTACAAGACTTCAGCCATCAATGTTTAGCTAGGGCATGATTGTGATACTACCCCAGCGGCTATATAAACACCTACTGAGCACACTCTCGGTCATTCCACATGGTGCTGGAGAGAAGACGAGAAAATAGAGTAGGATAAGGAGGAGAGGGAAGGTAAAAGTACCTACAGACCTAAGGTACAACAAGTGTTGAGATGCCGTCATGACTTCATGTCATGATTGATATGAGACCTTCTACTATTTGAAACAGCGCTTTTTCATGCGTATGCATCAAGCCTACAGCGAGGTTGATGCTCCAACAAGTCAGGAAGAACCTAAGGCAGAAAGGCTGTAAAGCTAGCGCGGAGAGAGGTGTCCGATATAGCCAGAAGGAGCCAATCGATAGCGTATCACAAATCCAATAGCCCGGACGATTGAGGCCAATAAGAAAGAAAAAAATACCTGTTTCACGATGACCTGCTGAACTACGAGATGTGGCTCCTTCTGTTTCGGACACGTTTCCTTCATCAACGTCCAAAAAAGTGCTCTACGATGCCGTCTTCCACTATATCCGTTGCCAGTTTCTCGGCAAACTCGTCTACAGGCTGACACAGAACTGAAACAATCCGTAAAGGTACTTCCAAAGGAATAAAGCTATTCGATATATGCATGCATTAGATAAATAATAAATAAATAAATCCAAAGGCCCTATAACCACAGCTGTTGCTATGAAGGGTGCAATTCATGAACATGAAATTAGAAATATGTCACTAACCTGTTTCTGCAATGTTGTCAGAAAGATCGCACATGATAGTGAGTCATTTTTGCATGAGCTCGAGCTGACCCTACAAAAGACTTCAACTTTCCAATTGGAATGAATTGGTTTCGAAAGAACATGACGTTGGGCCGTTCTTTACCCATCGCTTTGCAATGCCGCGAGAGGGATCGCAAATTACTGAACAAAATAATCGGAAAATGGGAGAATCAGCAAGTATTTCACATGACTTCGTTCCAAAGTATGCAGAGTCTGAGAACCAGGGAATTCGCACAAAAGGATTAAGCACGTTCAAAAAGCCATATTTGAATCACATGTGTCTAATCACTTTCGCATGTTCTCCAGTTCTCTCAAAACGGTGATTATGAACGTCGCTATACATCAGCCTTGCCACGCGCTATAAAGTATAAGGCCTTTGGCGTTTACCAATTCCTGTTCGCATACTACTTCCCTCCAGAACCGAGTAGGATTTGAATGCGATGTGGCCTATACAATGACTTGCGGGGGCCAGCCGATGTACAAGTCAGTGTTTTTATCCTCCCAGACAAGTCTGGTACCAATTAACCGACCCCGGAGGGATGGAAGGCTTGGTTGGCCCGGGCGACTCACGACCCAGGATTTGATCCCCGGACCGCTCGCGCACTACAGCGCCATTGTAGCACTCGCTACAACACAACTTCCGCCCAACCGAAGAGTTCGCCGACGAAAACATCATTTTTGACGGAGTTTCGCCGTTGATATAATGCTAACGGGCCTATAGCTCAGGCAGGTAAGGCCGATGTCAGACTTTGCGAATCGCGCGTTTCGCTACCAGAGTCAACCCTGCGTTGCGCAGTTCGCAACGGCACGTTGAGAGATCCTCAACGCACGCTGTATGGGCGGAGACGCAGACGGCTCGAGCATGCGAGTGTGAATGTTCGCGCGAGAGAACGTGTCTAATCGGGCGAAACTGCGCAACGTGGCCGTTGAAAACTGCGCAACGCAGGGTTGACTCTGTTCGCCTAGCGATTCGCGCGATTCGCTAGCGTCCGCGGTCGCGTTGCGGTACCAGCCAATTGAGTGATTCACTGGCCGCGACGCGACCGCAGACGCTAGCGAATCGCGCGATTCGCAAAGTCTGACATCGGCCTTAGCGCTGCGAAACGCGAAAAATTCCCTTTCAAAACCACACTCTTGGAGCGGTATTCAATCCTTTCCCCAGGTGGATGTATCCCCCTCCTCTGGTTCAATCCTCTGGGGGGACAAAAGAGGGTTGGTCAAAGGACCTAGCATACCTCTGTGTTTCTACCTGGGGCCGGGTGCAGCAAGCCCCGACGAGGGGATGGGTACCCATCCCCTCTCCCCAACCTCGGTGCTGCATCCCCAAGGCTTGGGGATATCCCCTCACCCGACATTCAGCAAGAGACCGTTTCAAGGGTTTCGTCACAGGACCCATCCTTTTTCGATGGGTCCTAAAACGCCACCGTCTCTGCCAGCAGGGGATATATCCCCTAGCCGAGATTATTGCTAACGACGTAGATTCAGAAGTTGGAAAAATCTTCACCAGAGTTTCGGGGATCAGCTATGATATGACTCGCAAAAGAACTCGAGGCTTATTTTTCTTTACTGTCAGGAGGGAGGGCTGGACGGGTAGAGTTGTGGAGGTTGATTGTGACACTAGACATTCTACGATTTCAGAGTGACCAAAGTCTTTGCACAGCCAAAGGTTCCAATGAGCACAGAAGATAGTAACAGATAGTAAATCACTGTGGTGTCAACGAGTGCTTGCGTAAAAATGCAAGGATCCCCGGAATATGAAAGCAGACTGGGTGGTAATCATACAAGGACATCACAGTCATGAAAAGATCATGTTTTTGAACCATGAACGCAAGAAATGTGTATACCAGCTATTCAGTAAGCAGATCTTTGCATTTGCGAGTTGTTTCACCAGTAGGCAACTACCGAACATCGCTGGATAAAAGAATTCATAAAGGTTGGCTAGAATTGAACAAGACAAGAAGTCCGTTGAGCATCAATATGGTCTATACAAATCAAAAGCCAAACATGCGAAAACCACAAATCATCCTACCAAAAAAACGGAAAAAAAGGACAAGAAGCAATCAAGTTTTGGGATGGCGCCATTCGAAATATGTTGTACGTAAGTTTGCGCAAAACAACTTCTTTGACGCCATGTGCCTGGCATGCCACTGCTATCCTTCCCCATGCTAATGGAACAGAAAATACCTTCGAACCTTCTTTGTCAATGCTAGGGAAACCCGCCAGCGGCCGGGTGGCAACAGAGCAGTGTCGTTCCGTGTAACCTCCCCTTGAAAAAGCGAGAAAG